GCAAGTTTCTACTGAAGATCATCTGAAAACGACTGGAACAGCACATCAGCAGAGAACTGCCAGAAGTCCAGGCTGGGTTTAGAAGAGGCCGTGGTAGGAGGGATATTGTAGCTAATGTTAGATGGATCTTTTCTGAAAGCAGGGAATACCAGAGGAATGTCCATCTGTGTTTCATTGATTATGCAAAGGCATTTGACTGTGTGGATCATAACAAAATATGGCTGACTCTGAGAAGAATGGGAATTCCAGAACACTTGATCATGCTAAGGTGAAACCTATACTTGAGCCAAGAGGCAGTCATCAGAATGGAGCAAGGAAACACTGAATGGTTCAAAATCGGGAAAGGTGTATGCCAGGGATGTGTCCTATCTCCATACCTTTTTAACCTGTATGCAGAATAGATTATCCAGGAGGCTGGGCTTTATGAGGAGAAGTGTGGGGTCAGGATTGGTGGAAGATCTATCAACAATCTGCATTATGCAGACAACACAACCCTGCTTGCTGAAACTGAGGAGGACCTGAAGCGCTTGTTGCAGAGGGTCAAGGACTGCAGCCTTCAATATGGATTGAGGTTCAATGTCAAAAAGACAAAGATTCTCACGACTGGACCAATTGGCAGCATCAGGATGGATGGTGAAGAGATTGGGATTGCTTACAGCTTTAGTTTGCTTGGCTCCACAGTCAACACTCTTTGCATCAGTAGCCAGGAAATTAGAAGACCTATTGCTATGGGAAAGTCTGCTGTTAGGGACCTCTCCAAAGTACTGAAGAGCAATGGTGTCTCTCTGGAAACTAAGGTGCGTCTGATACAGGCCATGGTCTTAACAATCACTTGTTATGCATCAGAGAGTTGGACAATGACTAGGGAGGATAGAAGGAGAATTGATGCCTTTGAGCTGTGGTGCTGGAGAAGAGTATTGAGAATACCATGGACTGCTAGGAAAACAAACAGGTTCATCCTGGAGAGGGTTAAACCAGGCTGCTTCTTGCAGGCAAGGATTCTAACATACTTTATGTTAGGCTTCGTCTAACATACTTTGGACATGTTGTAAGAAAGGACTGATCCTTGGAGAGGGACATCATGCTTGGTAGGGTGGAGGGACAGCACAGGAGGGGAAGGCTCCTGTGAGGTGGATTGATTCAGTGACTGGGGTAATCGGGATGGGTGTATTAGAGACAGTGCGACTGGTACAGGACAGAGCAGAGTTTAGGGCTGTTGTACATAGGGTCGCTGTGAGTTGCAAGCAACTCAATGGCACATGATAACAGCAAGAACATGGTTTTAAAAATTACTTCTTTGCTCTTCCGAACTTTAAACAGGTCCTTGACTGTAAAACTTGGCCCAATATAACATGTCTTCTATTAATGATATGACTGATTTTTTATAGGACTACACATTTTTCTCATGATATAGCTTTGAAGTACTCAGGAGCAATGATTTTAAAAATTACTACACAACTTGGGAGGGACTGGAGAACATTATGTTGAGTGAACTAACTCAATCTCATAAGGACAAATACTATATAAGACTATTATTGTAGAAATAGAAAGATAATAAGTAAAACGTGTATGAGAAACCAAGGAGGGAGAATAGGAGTAGAGGCATGAAACATGGGGGAAATCATAGGGTTGCACAATTTGATGAGTGGAGTGGGGGTGGGTGGGTAGAGGAAATGGGAGAGAATCAGTGAGATCTGGAAGGATACAGTAATGCTGAGCATAGTTCAATGTTGATTAATTTTATAAAATATAACAAATGGGAATGATTGTATGAAACAGAATGTGAATGAAGAATAGTGTGAAACACAATCTATACAGACTTTGTAAGCAAATAAATTTAAAATAAATATTTATTTTTTAATTAAAAAAATAAAAAAAGATCTAGCTTTGATCTTTGGGAAAAACTTGAGAAACCTTACAGTTGTGTTTCTGAAGACATCTATTGATAGTCATTTCTAAGGCTGCATTTCCAAGTCATTTCTTCAACATAGTTCAGAATTGGGTGTCAGCAGATGGTTTTTATAGATTAGAGGAGATTAACTGATGGACATAATTTATTTTACTTTTATTTGACAAGCGTTATGTACCTTTTGTGGTAATAGGCACAATGTTTTGTAGGTTATGGTTTAAAAGAGGAAGAGGAAGTTTCAGAGTAAAATTTGAAATATGTGTATTTTAAAATGTTGATGCAAGTGTCTACACACACTGTTCAGTGACATCGATTCACACACATTATATAAACACTCTCATTATTTCCATTCTAGCTGTTCCATTCCTATTAACATGGTCTCACAGTCCAATGCCTTCCCTCCTCCATCTTCTCATCTAGTTTATAGAGTATTTGTTGACCATTTATAGAAGTTCTTTTTTTTAAAGACCACAGTGGTCAAGGTCGATTAACCAAAACAAATTCATTGTTGCTGAATTATTTCTGACTCGAGGTAATGCTCTCTCAAGTTTCCAGAGCTATACATCTTTTTTGTTGTTGTTTTTAAAAAACTTTTAAATTTTTATTATTTTTTGTGTGTGTACTGTCAAATCGGATCTGACTGATACAGGAGGAGATTGCCCCTCCTTCTTCAACAGAGCATGTGGGGGATTCAAACCACTTACCTCTGGGATTGCAATGCAGCTTCTTGCCACTAGCCACCAGAGTTCCTTCAAAGCTTACACATCTTTATGAGAGGAAATTGCCTATCTTTCTCTTTTGGAGCAGCTAGATGTAACACATGGGACCTACCTTGCTATTTGGCTAAAATGTGACTTGAGAGATTTGGCTAAAATGTGACTTAAGAGAATAGATGTCAGTTTACAGCTTAGAAAATATTTCAGAGTATAGTCTCAGGGATTCCTCCTTTAACAATAATTGTTATAATTTTGTGCCGTCAAGTTGGAACCAACTCATAGCTGACCCTCCAGTGGATTTTCAGAGGCAGTACATTGTACAGAAGGAGACTGCCCATCTTTCTCCCGTGAAACAGCTAATCTTAGCATTCAGAGGTGGACTGACTGGTGCTAATACTGAAGGGATGAATACTGGATTTAATTAAGTAATCACATCTAGCAATGGGATGGGAACACAAAGGGACAATTTTAATATATGGAATTCATTCTTTAACAAGTGAATATGATACAGGCTTATAGAAACTGAGAAGGCGGTAGTATTTGTTTCTAATAAGTGATAGGGAACTACTGAACCAGAGCTCTTATTTAGTTAGTAAAACAGAATAAAAACGTCTTTTTTTTTTCAGTAAACTTCCGTTGATTGATAAATGCCACACGTTATAGAGGATGGAATTCATTGTCAGCTCATTCTCTAGGAACTTAGCAGCCCATTTTTATTTTATGTTCATTTTGTATCAAGTGATTTTATAAATCCCTCTGATAATTTAGCTTATGAATGTTCATTCCTCTTTTACATTACTTAGATCTGCTACCAGATTTTTTCCCCCTTCTAACTCACAGGAAGCCTTGCGCCTTGCTGTGAGCACAGTGGTTGAATGAACACTGTGACATGAGTGTAAGAATGAAGATTGGAACCATTCATTAGCTCATACTATTAAAAATCAGCGCTGAAGACCAAAGCTGATTCATAGTTAAAATCTGGTTTTCTTATTCAACAATATAGAGTTTACCAGAAGGCTGCTTAAAACACCAATCTTTTGAAATGTCACCAAAATAAAATCCTTGACAGATATAACACGACTAGGTATATCATTAACAGAATATTCTTAACAGAATAAAAGCTTACAATCAGAACATGGTTGAAAACATAGAAGCTTTATGGAGGCAGTAAATTAGGAGCTAGTCAAAATTTAAATTTCCCATCAGTGTTTCTTTGTTGAAGCCTGGAATATAGAGTAAATTGAGCTGATGTAGCAAGTTAGCACCATGGTTTTTATACACGATTCTGGATAGTGGAATTTTTAAGTAAGGAGAGCTTTTAGGATGAAAAGATTTCTTAAATATCTACTTTTGTTATAAAAGCACCTCCACCATCATACAAAGGCTTAGGAACACTATGAATAAAGCTTTGTTGAAACTTTTGGGGTCTTTTCTGTTTCTCCACCACTAGAATATTTTATGTAGAAATATATTGGGTTCTATGTTTAATAGGTCAAACGACTGTATTTGAACTTATTTTCAAGTAGTCAGAGACCTATTGTAATAGAACATGTGCCCCTTGCCTCAAAATATATAGCAATTGTATTCTTAATAATGTGCTGCAATCACCAGGGGTTATGTATTGTGCATAAAAGTTTTTGTAAGAGGCTTTCTTTAGTTCAGTATCCATTCCTGCTGGTTAAGGAAGTCATGTCCCAGCCTGGGTTTCCAGCTGGCTGACTATTCTAAGGTTGCCTCTTCATTTGAAGGGGCCTGGTTTGTCGTTCAGAGCAAACTGGGAAAAAAATTGACTTATTTTTTTGACTTTCTTAGATTATGAAGAGTCTTGTCTGGGTATGAAAACCTTGTCTGCTTCAATTTGCTTCCTGCTTAAGAATGCGCGGCTGATTATACCCACTGAGTTGCATTTTGAAGATCATCGTTTTTATCATTCCATGTTCTCTGGGATCCTACTGGATTCCTGGCCGCCTCATTTCTGCTTCTGTTATAGTCGTGGAAATCACACATGCGTTGTTAGTTGCAGTGTCAGCTCGGACTCTTAGCAAACTTGAATGTCACAGAAGAGAATGTTGCCTGGCCTTGTGCCATCTTTGATTGCCGGGTTTAGAGGCTCTTGTCGTGGCTCAGTGTCAATCCATCTCGTTTTCATTGGCCTCTGCTTTACAATGTAGTTGCAAGCTGTCACCCTTATCAAGCTTCTAAATGTGCTCGAGAAGAGAGGAAACAAAAGGTCAGACCTTCTCAATGAGAGCCCTTCCAGGTAGCAGCCTGGAAGCCCTTGTTGGTGTGCCTTGCGCCCGTTGCTGTCGACATATGGCCTCGTGGTGTGCTTTGCCTCTGATAGCTGTTTCTCTTCCCCTCCTCCCCTTCTGCAGACATGCCTTGAATTGGAACGCTACCTGCAGACGGAGCCCCGGAGGATCTCGGAGACCTTCGGGGAGGACTTGGACTGCTTCCTTCACGCTTCCCCTCCGCCGTGCATCGAGGAGAGCTTCCGACGCCTGGACCCCTTGCTGCTGCCCGTGGAGGCCACCATCTGCGAGAAGAGCTCAGCCGTGGACATCCTGCTCTCTCGGGACAAGCTGCTCTCCGAGACCTGCCTCAGCCTCCAGCCGGCCAGCTCCTCCCTGGACAGCTACACCGCCGTCAACCAGGCCCAGCTCAACGCAGTGACCTCATTAACGCCCCCCTCGTCCCCCGAGCTCAGCCGTCATCTGGTCAAGACCTCACAGACCCTCTCGGCCGTGGATGGCACGGTGACGTTGAAACTGGTGGCCAAGAAGGCTGCGCTCAGCTCCGTCAAGGTGGGCGGGGTGGCCACAGCGGCAGCAGCCGTGGCGGTGACGGGGACAGTCAAGAGTGGACAGAGCGACAGCGAGCAAGGAGGGCTAGGGGCTGAGGCATGCCCCGAAAACAAGAAGAGGGTGCACCGCTGTCAGTTTAACGGGTGCCGGAAAGTTTATACAAAAAGCTCCCACTTAAAGGCCCACCAGAGGACTCACACAGGTAGTGGTACAAGTTGGCCGCACGTGGCTTCTTCCTTTTGTCCCCCTTTGGCGTCTCTTTGTTCGCAGAAGTGGCATCCGTGTTGACTGGAATGTGATAGAGGGGCAGGAGGGCCTGGGCAGGGACCCAGAATGACTCACACCTGTTACCTTTAGATGGCAGAGCTGTCCTGAGCTCAGGACATGGGCTTGTCATGGGCTGTGAGCTACACTCACTGGCAGTGCTGATCCTGGGACAGGATCCAAGAGCTCTGCTCTGCAGATGAGGGCAACTCTGGTGGGATGAGTGTGTGTGTATGTGTGTATTTCTCCCTGCGGTGCATGATACACAGACTTGTCACTTCTCTGACACTTTTCGTTGTTTTATGAATGCCGTTCTGCAGTTTTGATCAACACTGGCATCAGAGGTGGTGCATCTGAAAGACTTCACAGTTAGACAAGGTAGCTCGGGTGTCCCCGTTCACTCTTTTCCCAGCATCCCTGACTTTTCATCAAAGTCACCAACAGCAGGAGGGTTTCAGAGTTCATTAGATGTGATCATTGTATAATTAATTGACATCTCCTCTTTTGCATTGTTCTCTGGCGCGTGCTTTATGGAGAGATGGCAGAATTGCTTTTTAATGAGCTTGTTACAGAGAAGTTGCGAAAGTGATTACATTGCTATGTGTGTGGTAAGGGCGGGCAGGGGAGGGCTGGGGACTGTGTGTTTTCCTCAAGACTTCTGTAGGGACTCCACAGAGTCCTATCGATCTTTTGAGCTATGGAGAAATTTGGAAGTGTGGGGGAAACACAGGAAACAAGGAAACTGGCATTTTCCTTGGAACAAGTCTTTGTCCTTTAATTTGAGATTGAAGCTTGGTGACGGTGTCTCATCTTGGTGGTTTCATTTTAGTAGCAATTCCTATTATTGATGATCTTAAATGAGTTCTCAGTAGTGCATTACCTGTATTTTTTTGAGGGCAGGAGAAAGCTATACTTTTTGCATTCTGCAATATGAATTGGGTCTAGCCACAAAGATGTAAGGGCAGAATAAGAACATTCTCGGAGAGAATGAGGTGATAATGTATGACCTCTGAGAAGTGTTTGATGAGAGTTTGTTTTCAGTTTCACTGCATGTCTTGCTGGTATTCCTTGGCATGACTATGAAGCTACAGAATCCTAGGTTGTAGGTCCCTGGGGGACAGAGACAGTTAAGTGCTCAACTATTAACCTGAAGGTTGGTAGTTCAGGTTCACCCAGAAGAGCTGCAGAAGTCTCTGGTGAGCCATTCTGTGAAGATGACAGTCCAGAACGTCCTGTGGGGTGGTTTTTCTCTGTGGCACATGGGCTTGCCATGAGTCAGAGTCTACTCTGAAGCCAGGGGTTTGCTTTAGTTCCACTCCAGCTCTGTGACCTTGACCTCGATGAGTCTCATTTTCCACATCTGTCATACAATATGACTCTTCAGACCCCTTTGGCCCCTCCTGTTCTGGAGGTCCATGGAGTGTAATACACAGACAAAGAAAGGACTTACTTGAACCTGAGAGTTGTCCCCACAGGAGGAAAAGACTTGACAGTGCTTCCTTGCCAGCACAAGTCTCAGGGATACACTCCTCTATTCTGAACTTAATTTCCCATAAGGTTCTTGATTGGCCCGTGGATGATCTCCAGACATCATCCTTGCTCTCCGTGGCTCAGATGGAGAATCCTGCTCTTGGTTTCCTATTAGAATGTGGGTTTGAATTGTCTAGTCTGCATACACCAAGGCTAATGCTTTCTACACTCTTCAGCTTTTCCTTTGTCATAATGCCCTGCAACCTGTTTTTATTTCTACTCCTTCTCCCCAATCCCCTACAGTCAATGGGCAATAGGCAAACATGAATTGCTTCACTGTATCCCTCATCTCCAGTTCTGAAGAAACCAGAGTAAGTGGGATGAGGAAAGCATGTTGAACTGTTTGAGATGTGGGATTCGTGGTTATGGATACTTTGAAAAATTCCTGGCCCTTATACAGGCTACATATTGCTCAGCATGGAAACTGGACAATTCTCAGAACTTAATGATTCTGTTTAGTGACTCCAGAGAATTTTCTTCTTATCCCCCCATCAGTCTTCTCCACAGAGATGTCAGAAGTGTACTTGTGATTGATGCATTATTTATTTGGCTATTGTTTTTCTAACTGTTGTCTATTTGGCATGATTATCAAGACAGTCTCATTATATTACCCAACACCTACAACCACTTGCCTTATGAGGGACTGATGTGAAAAGACACCTCCTTGTGGGGAATTGACTCTTGAAGGTACCATTACGAGAAAAGCAGAATTATAGAACAGTTAAGAGCAGGACTTTGGGATCTAGATGGACTTGGGTTTGAGTCCTTCCTCCTCTAATAACCAGATTTAGATTTATGACCTGGGGGGGGGGGATTACTCATCTACAATTGTAGTTTTGGTTGTAGTTATAGCTATTGTTGATAGTGATTAGTGATGTTTTTGTTGTTGTTCCATCCACCCAATGATATTGTAGGATATACTTGGGACCAAGTTCTGAAAACGTCTTCTTCTTGTTGTTATGTACCATTGAATTGCTTGCAACTCATAGCAATCCAGTGTACAACAGCCCTGAATCTTGCTGTGTCCTGTGCCAACTTTATTGTCTCTGACACATCTGTACTCATTACCCCAATCACTGAATCAATCCATCTCATCAAGGCACTTCCTCACCTGTGCTGTCCCTCCACTCTTCCAAGCATGAAGTCCCTCTCAGACAACTGACCCCTCCTTGTAACATGTCCAAAGTATGTCAGAGGAAGCCTCAGAATCCTTGCCTCCAAGGAGCAGCCTGGTTTCACCTTCTCTAGGAAGGTGATTAGTGATACCAAGGTAGGTTTTTTGTTTGGTTGTTTTGTTGTTGTTGTTGTTGTTTTTAATTAAGCTAGAAATAAGTTGATAAGCAAAAGTAAAATGTGACCAAAAGGTGAAAATCCCTGTCTCATTGCTGCCGGTGGGCATGTGATGCTTGTGGGCACCAGTGGTGGAGATTGGAACGAGGCATGCATGCTTTGGCCCCTTGAGGCTGGCAGTGGTGTAGAGAGAGTATGGCTTTCTGGAATGAAGACAGGAAACAATTGCCCTGCACCCTCCAAAAACACTTTGCCTATAAATCTTTCATCAGACATAAAACTGGAGGGAAAAGTCGGTGCTGTAGGAAAGAGAATCAGATGAGGAGGTAGCATTCGTGATGGAGGATAGGGTGAGGGAGTATAAATTAATTTGGATTTAATGGATGAGAATCAGAGTATTTATTTGGAATTGGTGTGAATGGGGCACATGGGGAACTGAAAACAAAAGTGATAATTTATGTGGTGTGGATGAACTAAGAATGATGAAAAAAGCATGAAGGATGGAATCAAATTAAGTACAAACATATAAAGGAAATGGACTAGTAAAAGCTTGAGGGCAAAGGTATATGGCAGTGGGAATTATGCTTGGAAAAGTCTGCTGATATAAGCCAGAGAAATGGGGAGAGCTGATAATCAAGTGTTGAGTAGAAATTAAAAAAAGTAGTCTGGGGGATAGTGGGTAGATGGGCTCTGTTGAATTCAGGGAAGGCATTTTAACACTGGGTTCACTTCAATCCAGTGAAATTAAATTCTTATCTTCCAGTTAGAGAAATGTTACAGAAAGAGGAGAAAAAGAGAGAAAGAAAACCACCCCAGAAAAAGAAGAGAAGTGTTGGAATTTTGTTCTCTAGAGTTTGCTATATCTGATCTATATGCTAATGTGGTGAACAGGGGACCCAGTTGCAAAAATAAAATAAAATGCAATGAAATATACGGGCCTCCCATCTTCTATGCATCAAGAGAAGCAATATGGTGCAGGTAACATAGATTTGCTTGCATTGAGGAATTTTAAATGTCTTATTCATTCAGTCACTGTATAGATAGAGTTTACTGAGCTGGAAAAGATACGCATTTTTTCCCTTCTGCGGCTGTTTTTGAGGATGCTGAATCCTTCGAACTTTTTGCCCCAGAGGATGTTTGGCAATGAGGTGATTTTTTTTTAAGGTAACAGATGTTCAAGCTGGTTGCCCAAGGAGGTGAAATTAGAGATGGGGGGATACAGGCTAAGGATGGAGGAAGATGAGGCCAGAAAACAGACAAAGGGGATGCTGTTGGTAAGTGGCAGGATCTTAGTGAAAGGAACGGTATGAAAATGGACATATGGTTTATCCATCAGCAAGACCACTTAGTGCAGGCACGAGCTTAAAACTGTCCCTGAGAGCCGAGCCATTACAAGCCCTTCGCCCCCACTCCAGTTTTTGATCTTTATATAATATATCTTGCATTTTATCTCAGTGTCTCAACCATTATGATGATAGTTTATTCATCTTTTTTAAGTCAGCCAAGTCACCTTTACGCCTGCGTGAGAGAAACTGTTCCAGTTTGCCAAAAGCCTCTTTCTTTTTATTTTCAACAAAACTCAACTTATTACACTATTGTGTTTTTATGCAAAAAGAGAATGTAGACTTATTTTTCCACATTTCTTCTTGTTCACGTTTTCTTTTTACTTTTTTAAAATTAATTTTAATGGAAGTTTACAGAAACTTAGGGTTTCCAGTCATTCATTGTTGTACTTTTCTCCCTGCTCCCCACTTCACCCCAGTTCACTCTTCTCCTTGAAAAGAAGACCAAAAACTCTTTCATTGTTATGCAATCCCTCCCCCCAAGTCCACTCCACTATGTAGCCTTCACTCTGGACTTCTGTAATGACAAGACTACCCATTCATATATCCCTTTTAAATAGTTCTCTCCCTCATCTGTTTCAATGCAATATACATCATTCCTCCCCTCCTTTTCTATCTTCCCTCAACCCTGATGTCAGTCCCATTTTACAACAGTGGCCCTATGCAAAATTTGTTCTTTTGTGACTGAGGTATTTCACTTAGCATAATGTTCTCCAGGATCACCCATTTTGTATAATATTTCATGAGTTCTTTGTTTTTCAGTGCAGCATAGTAT